GGTGAGTGTTTCAGTAAAGGTGATCATAGCTAGCAGTACCGTGGGTGAGTGTTTCAGTAAAGGTGATCATAGCTAGCAGTACCGTGGGTGAGTGTTTCAGTAAAGGTGATCATAGCTAGCAGTACCGTGGGTGGGTGTTTCAGTAATGGTCAGTACTGTGGGTAGGTGTTTCAGTAACTGATCATAGCTAGCAGTACCGTGGGTGGGTGTTTCAGTAATGGTGATCATAGCCAGCAGTACTGTGGGTGGGTGTTTCAGTAATGGTGATCATAGCCAGCAGTACCGTGGGTGGGTGTTTCAGTAATGGTGATCATAGCCAGCAGTACTGTGGGTGGGTGTTTCAGTAATGGTGATCATAGCCAGCAGTACCGTGGGTGGGTGTTTCAGTAATGGTGATCATAGCCAGCAGTACCGTGGGTGGGTGTTTCAGTAAAGGTCAGTACCGTGGGTGGGTGTTTCAGAAATACTTTCTAAGCAATTCTCCTTTACAGGCATCTGATTGTTGCTAAATTTTCAGGGGGGGGGGGTGTTCTCATGTACTTTAGTGAAAGTTTTAGCTGAACAGCAGTTGCAGTATACACAGGTCCAATGAATGCCAAAGATTCCAGGTGTTGGTGGAGAACATAAAAGGATGAGGAGAGTTATGGAGGATAGATAGTGTCCAGGAAAGAAGGAATAAATCACAGCGGAGGGCCCACCAACCACCTGCTCATTTTTCTGGTGACATTTACTCCTAGGAATAGCTGAAGTCCAACTTTGTATTCTCTGGGAAAGGTTGTGCAAGATTTGAACCATTGGTCAGGTACATACCACTAAAATATCCAATTGTTTTGACAAAGTAAAGTCATTTACTCAACGAATACGCTTATTTGATAGGTTAGGCCGTCTTTGTTTGTGATGCTTTTTTTTGGTTTGTTCAGGTGATTGGCTCTTTGTACAGGTGGTTGTCTTGTACAGGTGGTTGTCTTGTACAGGTGGTTGTCTTGTACAGGTGATTGTCTTGTTCAGGTGATTGGCTGTTTGTACAGGTGGTTGTCTTGTACAGGTGGTTGTCTTGTTCAGGTGATTGGCTCTTTGTACAGGTGGTTGTCTTGTACAGGTGGTTGTCTTGTACAGGTGATTGTCTTGTTCAGGTGATTGGCTCTTTGTACAGGTGGTTGTCTTGTACAGGT